GAAGAGTGTCGCAGTAAAACTCGACCGTCCAGCCCCTCGGTTCTGAATTCTTTCCCTGAATTCATTTCAGCTCTAATGTGTTTACCAACAACAAAGAAGCTGAATGAAGTGTTTCCTTCTCTAACAGAAATCTAAACCTAAGCTTAAACGAAAATTTCTGCACGCAGGAAGCAGCATTTCAGTACAAGAATCTGCTTTATTTTTACAGTGCAATGATTGAAACAATGTAGAAATTTAACTTGCAAAACTGAATTTATATCACAATGTCCATCAGAAGGCAATACATACATGTCGCTTTGTTTTCAGTCATAAAATATTTCTCTGGACACCAGAAATTACAAACTCTTAACACTATACACTTCACTTTAGAGACGGATTCATCATAATTTAAATCTATCTTATAAACAATTTCTCTTAGAAAAACACGTGGAAGATAAAAAGAACTCAAGTATTAAACTCAAGGCCTTGATTATTATTTTCTTCTTTTTTTAAACAAAGATATTTTAAGAAATGTATCAAAATGGTAACTCTGTGGGTATTTATAGCTACTACTCAGGCTCCGTAACGCACTGCTCCACGATTTCACGCAAGTTTGGATTCTCCATCGCAGCTGCTACTCTCTCTTTGTCATTGATTTGCTTGTTGACTGCAAAACATCACACAGAAACCCAAGTGAGGAGCAGCTCTCAGGGGTACTTCACCCACCTACCGCATCAGCAACCTGACAAACACCCGGTACCACCAGCTCAGCCACACAAACCCCCAACCATCAGAAATGAAACAGTTTTGGTGGTTTTCTAGCTCAGGAAAAGAACGCAAGATGCTCTAATGAGACGTCTTGAAATCGAGGGCGCAATTCGTGACAAATGAGGAGCCGAAGTTCATCAGGTTCAATTTCTAGTTGTTTAATTGAAAAAAAAAAAAGATTTTTACCTTACCAAGATCTAATGCTTAATAGCAAAAAACCCTGGGACGTGCCTGGACAAAGGCTTTAGCAGCTGTTTAAGACAGTGATTGACTACAGCTCTGGAGGAATTTTGACAGAGGTTTTATGTTAAACATTGACTGAGAAACGGGTATTTTTGTTTAGCAGATGTTAAGATAGCGGGATCAACCAGTCAGGAATTTCTTCTTGTTAATTATTCAGCCGCACAGCACCAACTGCTTTTGTTACAAACACTCCACCTTCAAGAACCGTGGTCTTTTTGTGTCTGTTTGTTTAAAAATGCAAAACAACAAGCACGCACCGGCAGCACGGCTACAGCTTCTAGAATAGCCTCAACTACCTATTTCATTTTAAAGCTTTAACAGGGTATTCGTTTCTGAAAAGGAGAGTGAGGCAGGAGAAGAAAAGGACTTGTCAGAAGCACACAAACCCACGCAAGCTGTACTTACTGTCCTCTTCAGTGGAATGTGTACCTTCCGATATGTAGATTTCCAGCTAGAGGAAAGACCAGGAATGTTAGATGCACACACCACGAAATACATTCAGTACTGGAAGAAAAAAGATGTACAGTTCACACACAATGCACAGAATTCATGGTTCTAAGAATGTAACCACACTCCTAGAAACAGGGTGGAGAACTGGCACTGTTTTCCCAGAGAGTTCTCCGCAGGCCAGAATCCAGGAAGAGTTTGTCTAGAAGCCACCAGAATTACAAGTGTCACTTCCACAAGCTGAGAGACATCCTTAGGAAGAAATTCCTAGTAAGATATTCCTCCTAAGTCTTGGTGAGTGATGAGAATCACAGATACTCTATTTGAAAGCGGCAGCGTAACGCGGAAACTGTTTCCCACGCGGGAACAGACTGTAAGACTGGAATCTAAACAGACCGAAATCACCTTTATGCATTTACCAGGTTTGGAAAAACCACCAAAAAACCCCTCACACACGCTGAATTGCCAGGAGATCTCATAAAACTGATGTGCCAAAGGAAAACAAGTAACCAAATCCTGCGCCTTTTAACTTATCTCGCTGAAGCTAAGCCCATTCGTTACCATGCGTTCAGCGTAATAAATCTGATTTTCTAGAAGGGCGAGCCTCACTTTACACTGTTCAACTGGAAAGATGAAGCTAGCAACTGTAAAAACAAACCACCAATCAACACCAGAAAGCCTAAGCTAACGAATTTACAGTTTAAATTACCTCAGGCCAGTTTCTAAAGGTCTATAAAAGAATGACAGCTGGTGAGGAAATCCCTCCAAACACAGCGTATTCTAGAAGGGCAGCAATAAACGGTTCTTCATAAAGAGGAGGAAGAACCACAGCTACTCACAGGTGCCTTCAGCTGCTGCAACATTCTCTCCCTCCATGGGCAAGAGACAACCTTTAAAAACCCCCATCCTCACTCCCAGCTTTCAGGTTACCCAATGCTGCAGCACACATTCGTATTAAAACAGAAGCTGGAATTAATTCACGTAGTTTAAATCAAGTGCCAGAACAGATACGTTACCTTATGTCTAAAAGGCAAACATCTCTGAAGTTTTATTCTTAAACAAAGGCCTGTTAAAAAAAACCAACAAACAGGTAAGAGATCCTCTTGTAAAATTCAAGGTTTGAGGTGCGTTTTCCGAGAATCTATATTTAACAATCAAAAAAACCCGGCATAAGGGTCAACCTTCTCCTTTTTTCCTTCTGAGCAGCAAAAGCCACAGAGGAGACTAGATCCTTTGTCTGACCCTTCGGCTGTAGCTCCCCCGTTCAGCTCCCAGCTGCCTCGCAAGCTCAGGAGGCCTCTGGAAACCTGAGGTTTCCAGAAAACCTGAGGTTTTCCTCCTGGAAACACCAAATACAGGCAAATTCCTCCATTCTCAGCTTCCTTCTGTATTTCTGAGAGCGAGAGCCTCCCGGCTGTCACTGCAGCTGCCTCCGTGCCGAGAAGAGTGCTTTCCTTTCTCCATAAAGCTGCAACGGTTCATCTGGGCACAAATACACGTACGTCTTCATTAAATTAAAGACCTTTTCCCCCTTACATCTTTAAAACAGATGGAGAAATCCTAGTTTTGATACATAACGGTAAGAGTTGCTAACTCTGGTACATTTAAACAAATCACTTCAGGGTGGATGTGGTTTTTCAGGTATAATCTCACCACAAATAATAAGGGGGGAAAGAAACCCCAACTAAATAAACCAGTGTAGATTCTCATTTGATTTAATTGCTTTAAAACTCCAGAACTTTTTTTTGTATTCTTGGATTGCACGTGGGGTTTGTTGTACGTGGGAAAGGAGAACATCCTAGAGGAGGGGAACATCCCAGAGGAGGGGAAAGATAAGGAAGACAATCATACAGCTTTTTTTTTTTAATTCAGAGCTGACAAATTTTCATTACTAAAATAATTTGGAGAATACAAAGAAGGAATTCTGTACCACCTCCCAGGTTTCTGGGAGCTTCTCTTCGAGGAGCTTGAGACAACCGAAGATTAATTCAACACTCGTCGTTAGATAGTTACTGAAAGAGAAGCCTTACCAATGAGAGTAGCCAAAGAGCAATGAGGTACTGTTGGTGTAAACCTGATGACCACCAGATACTCATCTTCGCCGATCTCCTGCACTTCGACGCAGCTTTCCGTTACCACTTCCAGTTCTTCTAACGTGTTCGGTTTCTCCGGGTCCCGGATAGTACGGATTATATCTAAAGGAGAAGGCAAGCGACCAACACATGAAGTAGCTTTCCCGAATTTAATAAAAGGCGCTTTTGTCAGAAACCACCTTCCCAGCATTGTTTATTTTGCACCTCTTCAGAACAGGCAGAGCTGTAAACATCAGGGACACGCGATCTCAGGAGCTGCTTCAGAGCTGGGCACACTGAGGCATTTGTTGCATAGATTTTTTTCACCTTCCAGTTCTAAACCTGCTATTATTTTTACAAGCCCCTTACAATAAACTGAAATCAAAACATGCCTCCAAAGGGATACGTTTTGCCTCCAGAACTACGGGTCGTCTAGTAACAGCCCATCCCAAAGACAGACAGAGATGCAGCGTTTACGGCAGGCTTGCTTGCCTTTCAGGTTTTTCAAAATGCAATTTGTTGCCAAGACAAGCCAGATTTCCTTCTCATCTTCTCTCCACTTCCCAGCCTGCGCCTCACAGATTAGATTTTGAAGCCATCTTTAGGAAAGCCAGTACAAAAATCCATATTTATCTGTATCAATGGCCACTTCCTTAGCTTGTAAAACATGGGGATCAACTAGGTTTAATGGACCTGCACAGACAACTATAAGCAGCTCTGCCTTTATAGAAGCAACGTGTTCTGGATCAGCTTCAGGAGGTTTCACCATACGATGCAACGGAATTACATTTGTTGTTGCTTTTCCACGGAGCACAATGTTTTAGGGTAATATTCAAAATACTCGATTATAGCACTCTGAAAGATAATGCACGAGAGTACACAAACTCAGCGAATTTCCCAAGAGCCTGAGAAAAAGAAGCCTCTGCAACTCCGTGGGTTTGCTGAGTAACGTAGCGCAGAAGGCAAGGCAATGAGATGGCTCCCCTAGTCACATCTGTGCCTCACCTGACGAAACACTGATTTTGACAGCGAAGGCCAAACCTAGGAAGCCCCGAGCTGTCACCTCTCGCTCGCTCCTGCCTCGTGTGCAGCTGTTTGCCCCTTAGAAACGCAAGCATGAGCACCTCTGCTATAAATAAGGTAACTAAAGGGATATGGGTTAAGACCAGTTTTAAAAAAACCCCACCAAAACAACAAGTGAGTGGGTAGATATTTAGTTAGCCGCAGCGATTTCAGTTTTCATGTAGCCCTACTAGAGCAGCTAACTGCCCTGCTAAAGCAAACGTGACACCAGCCTTCGCTACAGCAAATTCCTTCAGTCTCTCTGCACGGACAGGCAGACCCACTCAGCTCTGGAAAGCTGCAAAAAACGCTTCCAGCGCGTTCCTGCCGTTCTCAGCAGGTGTCACCAGGGCACTAATATTGCCACGTTACTTCCAGGCAGGAAGGAAGCAGGCAGCCAGCGGGAGCTCATGTCTGTCTGCACCCCACCCATGCCACAAGGGTACGCCTGGGGCAAGAGGGACACCCCGAAGCCTCCGACCTGTGACGGAGAAAAAGGCTTCTGCTGGTACAGCTGTGTCAGCGTTCCCTGCTGGCAGTCACCTCCCCGCCCCAGAACCTCTCAGCCTCCTGCAAGGGCTGCTCAGGTTGCTCCCAAGACCTGGCACAATCCTTCGGGCAGGGCTGGGAAACGCTTTCCAAAGTAAGTTGTCGTGGCTCACACCACTCAAGGAAACTTGGGATGCAGGAGAGAACTGAGCCCCACTCCCTGCCTGCCAGGGAAGCAGACAACTGCCTGAAGCACCCCGAAGCCCCGGGCCTGTTTCTCTGTCTGCAGCGTAAGGATGCTGAATGACAAACCTGGAAGACACAGCAGATGTCACAAGGCTGTTACTTCTGTGCTCCCAAGGGACTGGTAACCGTCCCCTCAACTACATCAGGATGGGAACAGGCAAACTGTCTGGCTTTATTAGGACGTTTACCAGCAAACAGATCAATAATCTCATCTGTCAGACCAATAAAAGAGTATTTTCACTTTTCTTCCATTGTAATTTCTTTGTACTTGCTGATACATTTCTTCCTTTATTTTTCAAATTTTATCCTCTTTCCATGTGAAAGGGCCTAAGAGGAGATTACTTCACCACTCAATTTAGTTCATGAATGTCTTTTAAATCTTTAAAACCGATGCTTTAGCTCCGCAAAGCACAGCCCTGTGGACGAACTGTTGATTTGAGTACTTACACGCTTAGCCTAAGTTATTACTTAGAACCACTCATATTTTAAAGTATCTATGTTTAAACATCATTCGAGTTTTAAAATTGATTTTGTCTGACATTGCTTCCTGTTTAATTCTTTTTAGATGAAACTATGCGTACAGTGCTGCGTAAAATCCCGATGCTGCTCTTAATTGCCTACAAAACAACTGCGCCTTGAAGCCTGATGATGCTTTTGGAATCCTCTAAGATCTACACGCAGCACTTCCAGAGGCAAAATCTCTCCTTATTTCACAAAACCCCTCAGTCATGCAGTAACAGGAATCTCCATTGCGCTGGACTAACTGGGTGACCTTTCTGGACTGACTTGCCTTTCCAGGTGTGTCCAGCTCCTCTCCTAAGGTGATGAAACACAAATGTAACTCCCCTCACCCCGCACAGGGACTGAGCAAGCCCAGCAGCAGCTCAGCCCCTTCCCCACCTGTGGGGGAGCAGCAGCAGCACCCACCAGCCGAGCAGGGCTCAGCACCCTCCGTGCTCAGGATCCTGACCAAGGCTCAGCTGCCCTGGTGTGAGCTGAACAGAACCAGCTCTGTTCCATGGCTTTACTTTTCAGTTCAGCCTCTTCTGAGAGGCTGCGCTTCCTGAAGTTAACAGCGTGTTTGTGAAGTGCCTGCTGCTGGAAGGGAGGACACCTGATGTTTCTGGTCACTGCCGGGGATGGGGACGCAGACAGGCTCTGGCTGGTACTTGCTCCTGTAGCGACCGAGGTCACTGCTGGATCTCATGTGCCGCGCTGGGGGTGTCTGGAAGTAAAAGGGGCCACAGGGAAGCAAAAGGTGGCACCTCCAGCGAGGAACAGGCAGGACAGGCAACCACAAGAGTATTCCATGCCATACACATCATATTCGGTATAAAGCTGAGGGAACACGGGGGTTAAGTCCTCTTCTCCAACTGCTGGCATCCGAGGAGTGCTCTGCCTGATCTCTTGCCTTCGATCCTGATCCTGA